CTTTCCCGATAACTGCGTAAATTGTTGTTTTCATTATTTAGAAAAAAAGATCCTTCACAATACAATGGGGCTATATATATATATATATATATATATATATATATATATATATATATGTGTGTGTGTGTGTGTGTGTGTGTGTGTGTGTGTGTGTGTAAAAATATATGGATATAGATCCGACAGTATGAAGAAAATATATACGGAAAAAAAACAAACAAAAATCCTTATATACAATTATGCTGTTTTAATGTTAATATGTCAACGTCGGACGTTTCGGTCTAATAAACCATCTTCAGGACATATTCATAAATTATAACATTATCTTTGTCATGTTATATTGATAATGTTATAATTTATGAATATAAAAAATTCAGACGACATCCATTCAACTGATGTCAGGTTTCATTTTAAAATACATCCCTACCCCTTACCAAATTGTAGCTAATAACTGATACAATGATACTAACATAAGGAAAATCTAGACATCCCTTGTTCAATTTAAGTAGAATATTCTGTAACCATGGAAACGTGATTTTAGTTGTGTCTTTAAAACCCGGTAATTTTTAAAAGTTACTCCAAAATTCGCTTGAAGATGAAATGGAACTAATGCTTTTAATTTAATTGCAAAATTAAATTCGGGGTTTTTAGCTTCTATTTTTGAAACATGGTTGGAAGTGTGTAGCGAAAAAAACCATATTTTAAATCAATTAATTTATAATATATATATATATATATATATATATATATATATATATATATATATATATGGGGGGGATATGTTTATGTATGTATCGAGAAGTGTCTGGTTCTATGTGTGTGAATTATGATGTGTCTATATTATCCTTTAAAGTGTGTTGTTCTCTTATATTTCTAGGAAATACAAATGCCGCAGGAGTTCAATGCTAGAATTATTCGTTTCTTGACATTTAAAATTCAAACCAATTCATTCATATTATCGTTGTCACATGTCTATTCACATCTATCTATCTATCTATCACAGTCTGTTCAATCTATCTTTCACAGTATGTTTATATCTATATATCTGTATATCTATGTTCATTATCTATCTATCTCTGTTCACATTAGCTGTTTATTTATTTATGTATCTATCACAGCCTGTTCATATCTATCTACTATCTATCTATGTATAAATTTCACTCTCTCTTTCTTTCTCTCTCTTTATATATATATATATATATATATATATATATATACATATATATATACATGTATATAACAATATATATATATATTCATACATGCTTTAATGAAATTGACTGATTAGGACTGTCTGTTTAATATTTTTGCAGTTTGCGTATGACCACTCTCACATCGCGGTCAAATTTATGGAGAGACCACTATGATGTTTTAGCTCGATTACTTTCGTCCATCGCGTACCATGAACAAATATCTTATGTTATCAGTAACTTAATAGAAAATCTTTATTAGCTTCATTCTGTCATTAGAAACGTTATAATTCTAACTTAAACATGCGTTTTATACAATTGACATAAATGTATTTAATATGTAAAAATATAAAACTCCTTTAGTCGTGGTTGATGATGTACTAGCTGAACCTAGGCTTACCGCTTAATATATCTTTTCGTATTATATTTCGATGACATATTACCGCTAGTAGATAACACTTCGTTTCTGTCTTTCATTAAGAATGACCTGTTCATTTTCAAATAGTTGATTATTTCCGTCTCATTCAATTTGACGAATGCTGCCACGAATATGTGTTGTCTTTTTATTTCATATGTCCAACTGGAAGATTGCCACTAATAACTATTTTTGTATTTCATTCTGGTGTTTGGATTGCAAAAGGTCGTCTCTCCGTAGTTGGCCGAGTCAGATATCCTCGGGCCAATAGCCCAAAGTTGCACCGTCTCGATTAATAACTGAACATCAAACCTCATCTTTTCATTATGCAAGAGGTTTGTTCATCGTAATAAATGTCACAACGTACAGAGTCTATGTAGGCAAATGTTTTATTGTTTTCAACAGAAATGTTACCAACAGCAATGTGAATAAGAGGGCAAGGTGAGAGATAGAGAGAACTTCTTTACTATAGCATTCTTTTATTAACCTATCTAATATCTACGAAGACAAAAAAACTCACTCAAGGAAATTGGATGGCGAAACTACTTTTTCACCTGGCAATCTTGCCTTTTTGCTCGTTCCTGATTAGACATTTCAAAACATAATCAAAAGATTTCACTACTTCCTATTTTATTTTTTACCGTTATTTTATCGAAGAAATTGGAATCGGCAACTGATCCTGTCAAATATAATGCATTTCAGAAATACGATATATTTTCGCCAATCTATGTGGCTTTTTTATTATTTAGGCAATACCCTAGTTTATTATAAAACTGAAACGTTACAATTATTTCATGCGTCAAATTAGAAGCTGTCATGCTCTCGTTACACATAAAAGAAATAATGAGAATGTCAAAATTCGCAAAATTTGTGTTCTTACATACGTGACACACTCAAAAGCACACACACGAACACATTTTATATATATATATATATATATATATATATATATATATATATATATATATATAGAGAGAGAGAGAGAGAGAGAGAGAGAGAGAAAAATACATGTATAACCATTTTGTAAGGTTCACGACTGGAAAGGCAATAATCACTTGTAAGTGTCAGTTACTAAAAAAAAAAAAGAAAAAAAAGTGAAAAATCAAGCAATAATAATACATGAGTCATTGGCCGTTTTCCTCCCAATATCTGGATTGAAACCCGAAGAGCTATACATTTATGCGCATTGTGAAGACTTGGCGGGTCCCATCCGTCTTCAAAGGAAACCATAACCGATGTCGGAATACTTGAAGGCAGACTTGATCAGAGGTACGTGACCAAGTCTGATTTCATTGTGGGAATACTCCGAACTGTCTGCTAGTTTAATGCCTGCAAATTTAACTATGCAAGCATAGTTTCTTATAATTTAGTGCAAGAAATTATAGACACGAGACATTTGTTTTTTTCATATTCAAAGATCTAATGATTATAGGACACTGTGGAATATCCAAAGAGTGTTATATGACATATGTTTTCCATACCATAAAATAGCATTTCATTCTGTTGCATGTTTTGTTAGATTATCGTAGAAATACTTCGAGTTAGTCCAGCTTTTCGAGTTAACTGTTGATAATCTAAAATTGATTTTATATTACCCAGAGTGTTTGTGAACAGATTTCCTATTATGCCCGATTGGATTATCTACGCCATTTCATTGAGGTAATGTTAATGCCATGGCTGACTAATCCTTTTCTCGTTTCCAAACCCATCAGTCTGCCAGAGCGATTAGTAATTCACTATTACAGGCACCAGCTCCACCCAATGTGATCGGCTCTGGTTAAGAACCTAAGCTGACCTTAGTTACAGTTTCTGGGAGAGAATCATCATTTTTTTAACAAGGCCAGCACGCCCAAACCCTCGGTCACAATGACTTGTGACTTCATGCTAGCACAACCATCAACGGCCTCCGAACGATTTCGTCTCCCCAGTTTCACTGACAATGCTCCGGACAATCCGTGGTCTATTATTCTTGATAATATCCGCCGAAGGTGGCCGAAAATGGTTTTCGGCCACCTTCGGCGGATATTATCAAGAAGACAAATTGAACCCTGGTGAGATTCCAACCCAGTTTTAATGGCTACTTATGTCCATGAATGTAATAATACTAGCCATTTTCTTTTACGGGAGTAATAAGTATTCATTAACTATATAGACAGCGCTATATCCGGTGGAAATTTATAACAAATATTCTGTTAAAAGAAATTTTCAATTAAATAGGTTTGTAACGTCAAGTAACTGTTATCGCTCTTTCTAGTCGTTGCTTCCTACCTCAAACTTTGTTTAAGATATGGGGAAAAGTCCTCACCTTGATTATGTCATTATTTCCTTTTCGAAATACACGTGCTATTTATATTAGTTGTTTGTGCTGTTTAAAGTCAAGTCAGTTTTATTATTTGATGCTTATTTTTGTTTATGATTCTGTAGTGCCATGCTGCTATATTTGAAGAATTGTTGTCAGCGCTGAGATCTACATTCAGTCTAAGCCATTCTAACCATTGCTCCCTGAAAGTGGATGTATAAAGCCAACATTTTTCATATTTCTGAATGATATTAATGACTTGTACGATATCCATATGAAAGTCTCGATCTAAGAAGTATATTTAAGGAGAGGACTCGAGTTTCCAGGTTCTCATTTTGTAGCAATTTACGTCTTAGAGAGAAACTACACCTTGCTCATATTCAATTTCGCATTCAATAACGTATATAGTAACACATACATGCACACACAGAAACACACACACACACACATATATATATATATATATATATATATATATATATATATATATATGGGGAGAAATATGTACAAGAATAAACGTTTTAGTTGAAACTGTACGAGACAAAGAAAAACAGATGTTTCATATGACCTGCACAATACCATAGATAAAATATTGTATTCCAAAATGCACGAAAGCATATTTCTCTCTATAAAAATTATCAAACAATAGTGTTGTAATAATTCAATAATACCAAATGCATTACAATGGAAACGATTGTTTCGTTCCAGTCGAAGAAATATATAAGATAACTCAGTGGCCTTACCGAAATCTTATAAAGATTTCAACATTAAGATTACTTATTATCAAAGCAACACCCCAAATTTGAGTGGCTTTGATTTCTCAATTGTAGTGGGGGCGGGGGGAACTATCGGTAAAAAGATTAGCTCAAATTAATTCCGGAGTACTTACACATGGCATATCAAATAATAGAGACGCCGTTAAATATGGAATGATTTATATTGATGTGCATTTAATTTTTTCTTTAACATATTCTCTGTATTCCTCATTAAATATGTAGAGAGAAACATTCCTTATTTCTCTTTAGCCTGCAAATTTCGTATATTCTGACCAAATTTGCGGTTAATAACGATAACAGAGGCTTCTTATCTATCTATCTATCTATAGAGATAGATAGATAGATAGATAGATAGATAGATAGATAGATAAAGGCAATCGGACGCCTAGCTACAGTGAAACAGGATGACTATATATATATATATATATATATATATATATATATATATATATATATTCACACTTGGCCTGAAGATTGTGTTCAGGGATGAAACAGATTGTCGGTGATCTCAGTGTCCACTTCTATATTTACACACGCTCTATCACTTATATTGAGCACTTTTAACCATAAATATGGCATACCTTAGAACTCTATTTTTAACATATATATATATATATATATATATATATATAGAGAGAGAGAGAGAGAGAAAGAAAGAAAGAGAGAGATACGCAACAGTATTGAAATTAAATAGTTCGTATTTGTCTTTCGTTTTCATTTGTGTCTAGTCTGTCTTCAACGTTGAACATGTCTAGTATTGAGTTAACTGGGCACAATACTGTCTAGTATTGAGTTTAACAATGGCACGATATTTATCTCGTGAGCAGCTAGATATGATTTGTACATACTTCCATGAGAATGGTAATGGGGTCATCCAAACTGTCCTACTGTTCATCGTTACGTTCTGAAACAGGGTCGGTAGAACCACTAACTATGGATTGGGGAAGACTGAGATCCGCTCGTGTGCCTGTCCACTTAGAATACATTCCACAGGCAGTCGGAGGCGATCCAAGTATTAGAACACGCCAAGTTGCCTAGCATTTCGCACCTCTAATAGTTCCGCATGGAGAGTACTTTAAGAACTACTCTTGTATCCGTATCTTTTGCAATGTGTGCAGGGTCTTTCGCACTCTGATCACTTACCAATGGAGAAATTTTGCCAATAGTTTATTGCACAAACTGCTGATCCGTTGCTTTCTCTTCAGTCTTGTTAATGGATGAGGCAACATTTGGAAGAGATGGAATAACAAATTTACACAGCCAATATTTATAGGCGTTTAGGAATCCCCATAGACCAATACAGGTTAGACCCCAGCAACAGTTCACGATTAATGTGTGGGTTGGTAAGTCAATTTTTTTCCCCCAGCACGTCTTACAGGTACTGTCTGCTAGGGAGCAGTGAAAAACATATTTGTTTGTTTTAAGCTGCACTTTTTCGACATCATTTGTATGATTGTAACAAACACCTGTAAAAAAATTTCAGACCATTTCATGCCGACTTTCTCCGCAGGATCGCGATCGACTTTTTGTCAATTTTTACTGTATACCAAAAAATAGGTGTCATCTATTATTTGTCTGAATAATAATAAATTATACATCAATTAATTCCAATCTTATTTAAGAGGTACATAATATTAAAATTTTACAAGTTAATAGCGTAATCCTTTTCGTGAGGAACCTGGGCATCATTTTACTAGATAATAAAATGTGGCTAATATATCCATCTCTCGCTTTGTCTCCTGTCACTTCAGTGCAAGCTTCATCCATGACATTTATCCCTCTTTCGACTGCCTCTTGGTCACTCCTAATGGTGTATCAAGAATGTCATTAACCTGTTGATCTGACAGAGAAACAAAGTAAAAATGCCTCAGTCTTGAGTTCATTCATCCAGTTAATGATGGAATGTTATTTTTTTTTTTTTTTTTTGCTTATCGCTTTAGTTTAGAAGTCACTAATTTTCTCAAGTTGACTACAGGAGGCACATCCACATTCCCATCTCCATCTTCACTGTCTTCTACGTCATAAGTGTATTTTAGCACATCCTCGTCAAGAGCTTCAGCAGAATCTTCTTCCTCATCGTCAAATCTATCATTGCATTCTTCCATCTGCTGATTCTTCTTTCTAATTTTAGTTATCACTTATCATTTTAGTTATCACTTATCATTTTAGTTATCACTGAGATAGCATTTTTTTAACATTCACATTCTCCTCTGCTCATATACCAAGAGATTTATCTGTGTGGGCGAAGTATGCATTTCTCTGAACAGTTTTCTTCACTATCGTCTTCTTACTATTCCCGTTTTTCATATATAGCATGGATTGGAATACGTTCCTTGAGCCATGTATTACGTAAGAGTGCATCTTGATGTAGAGGCATATTAGAGCAGTGAACTTTATAATTGTAATAACGATTCTTTTCTGCTCGTTGCTGGGTCTTGATGTTGCTACATGCAGCCTGACGATTCTACTCCATCAAGTATCCCACCTTGACACGGAGGGAGGACCTGGATCAATAGTAACTAAATCATCATCAGCAACACCTGTAATAATACCTTTACAAAACCTATACAGTTATTTCTGATCCCAGGACAGATCTTCTTCTACTTCTTCATTCAGGACATGGAAATCAGTGAAACTGACTGACTAGAAGGCAACAACTGGCAGCTCAGACAAAGTCTCATTGATTTTTCAATAGGACCAATCCAATGCTCAAGACCACTTTACTATAACAATGATAAAAACAGCGCGGTAAGGCAGCTCATTTCCGTGAAGCTGTAAAGTGAGATAATAGAGCGGGTGACCAAGAAACATTTCAAGATAGTGAATGGATCCATTTTTTGATCGTACATTTACATTGGTTCCATCACTACCTACACATACAGTTGGCTTCTGGGTTAGATTTATCTCCACCAGAAACTCGTGAATATTTTTGGCAATCTGCTTTCTCTGTCCAGTCTTTGTAGTCACTTATGTGAGATATTTATTGCCAGGCTAAATCATGATGATATAATGATCTTGCATCATCCTCCACGAACTCGATTTCTTGGTCTTCTCATTCTTTATTATAACACGAGTGGCAGTATTCTTAGACTTTACAGAGACGTTATATATTCAAAACTATCCATCTCAATTTATTACCTGTACAATCGGTATTTCTGAATCGTATATTCAAGCTTATGTGATCCAATAATGTCACTCTTGACATCGTTTGTGATAATGCCATAGTCAGTTAAGGCAGTGTTCGGAGTCTTGTCCTGTTCTCTGAGCTAGTATCTGTCAGAGCTTTTGGGTCGTGGACAAAATCAGCATCAATATTGAGAGAGGGATATCACTTGATTCACCTGAATTATCCTCAATGAATATATCCGGCTACTAGATTTCGGTGTCTTTGATGAAGCTGTCTGCTGGCTCTGTCCACATCATGCAACTCATAACTATTTAGGTGTCGGCATAACATTTCTATATAATAATTCATAAATAATTAACAGACTATATATATATATATATATATATATATATATATATATATATATATATATATATATATATAGATATATTCCACTCACCTCTAGTTAAAAAAAAACCCTCTCTGTTAAGTTTTAATCTCCCACCTTCTCTCGTCTGTCACCCTTCTCTTTAACCCTAACATTCGTCCCACACTCTCATACTTGTCACTTTCATGTTAATCCTTGCAATTTTCATCTTCCTATCATCTAGCTGGTCAAGGAGGAAATGCACCTCACGCTTGGGAACTTATATATCATAATTACAGTCCAGGTGCTATCTTTAACACTTCTTAACTCATCATCAAATCTATCATTGCATTCTTCCATCTGCTGATTCTTCTTTCTAATTTTAGTTATCACTGAGATAGCCTTTTTTTTTATCCAGACAGGATATTAAACTCCTTTATTTCTTCCTAAAAGGCAGCCTTTTGTCCACATTCTTGTTCTTATTAACTTCAATTACCCTACTGTACAATTTTCCCAATAGATTTTTGGCTAAGAGGAACAGTCTGTTTATTTCCAATTGCTTTTTCTCATATTTCAGAACAATCCTCGGCAGCCATCTTGATAATCATCGAGGCATCTTCAAATTTTCCTTCGGCACATTTATACCTCCAGCAGTTCTGTAAAAAACACATGCGAATACACACATACATATATAGGTCCTTGCTAGATTAGGTAATCGTTATATTTATTCTTTATCTGTTTATATTTGATTTGTAACCTGTAGTCGATATTAATTTTGTCAAATTTTCTCAATTACACAGCGGCCCTTTCAGTAAATGCCCTTCAGTTTTAGTTTCACCCGCCCCATCTCTCTCCCCCACCACTTCTTTCCTTTTCTCTCCCTCCCTCTTATTCTGATCTTTAACATTAGATGGTCTATGGTGTGTGTATGTCACCACGAAATGTATCTTTAATGTATTAGACATCCGACAACATTCATATTTCCCCCTTCCACTCACCTCTAGTTAAAAAAAAACCCTCTCTGTTAAGTTTTAATCTCCCACCTTCTCTCGTCTGTCACCCTTCTCTTTAACCCTAACATTCGTCCCACACTCTCATACTTACACCCTCTCTAAATTCTACTTTTATTTCCGGGGTTGTTTTTTTCTGTTTTCTTTTTGAATTTGTATGTCTGATGAATTGGATCGTATTTATGATTCCAATGGAATCAATTATGACCATGGAATATTAGTGTTTAAGCCTTTTTATTATATCCTTACTCTGTCCTGGACATTAAGTTCTACCTGGATTATTAAACATATACATGTATGTGTATGCACCTATGTATATATATTTTGCATATGTATATTTACCACTAATATTATCTATCTATCTATATATATATATATATATATATATATATATATATATATATATAGTCTGTTAATTATTTATGAATTATTATATAGAAATGTTATGCCGACACCTAAATAGTTAATCCTGGGTATGGTGGTAAACTACATCCGGCAGTAAGAGCTCTGATCGCGAGATTGGAGGTTTTGAGGCCCAACTCTTAATCGCTGTTGTTCCCAGGTCCAACTCTTAACGTCCCAGTCATGCACAAATAGTGAACTCACAAACAAAAGCAAGACTATGAATGTATAAAAATACATTTTTATCGTACAATACCAGCAACACATTTGTATATAAAAATTACCAACAATACCTATTTATAGCAGAATTACCAACAATATATTTTTATCTGTAGCTGAGGCCATATGATTTTGTTCAAAATATTTAGATTTTGGCATTAAATAAAGCTAAATAAAATAAATAAACCTAAATAGCAAATGTTGCTTTCTAAATACTGCAGTATTAAGAAACAGGAAAATCTCCTAAGAAAATACTAATGAAATGCTGTGTAATATCATTGCGCCGATAAGACAGTGAATAGTAGGCAATATCTTCACAGATAAATAGGAGACTTGAGCCAACGGAGATGTGATTGTTCAGAAAAATGATGACAAAACTATGAATTAAATATTTAAGCAACGATCAAATTTTAAGAAAAATAGCAACGAAATCTGGACTTATACACAATCAGAAAATGAAGGTTGAAATTACGATGACACATAATAAAGAAAGAAGGCTTAAATATTTGAAACACAGAATAAATATTAGAGATAAGGGAGGAATATCCTAGTAGGCAAGCTTGTGCAAATGGTTATCAGAATAGGAACAGGAATGAATGGTGTGAGAAAGAAGCTCTGATAACAGCTACCAAATGTAGTAATTTTTTAATAGCCATTACCGCCCACGTCTCAAACAGATACGACACATCCAAAGAAAAATCCTATGGGACCTCCCTCTGGACATATAAACAGACACAGCTCTAAGGTTATACAGTTACTCCATCGAGTGAGCATGTGCGCCGTGTGACCGTAATATTCTCAATGACATCTTATGCAGGTGTTTTGGCCAAAATATCGCATTGTCCAGGCGTGTCTGTCGTTCAGAGTTTTTTTAATCACCATTGAAAAGCTCAACATATACATGTCCGAGTTTAAGCTCAACATATAATACCGTGGTCGAGATCAAAATATATTATTTAAAATACTCTTTCTCTACTAATGAGTGTAATGTGGCAGTTTGAGTAGCCGTGTGAAAAACTACTGAATAAATGCTAAAATAATTATAAACTTGGTGCAAAGTGCGTGACCTAATAAATATTTCATATAATAATATAACTAATACAGTTGATATACGCAAGAAAAGAATAACCTCAAATATGGCGTTTAGGTTCGATCTTCTGCCAGACATAAAGCTCATGTAGCCTAATTAGAGAAAGTATAACTGTGAGGTTTTAATATGCAGAAAAGTTAACAGTTCGAGCCAGGTCAAAAGAGTATTATTTATTTCTTATCCATGCTATTTTCTTATGGTCACAGAATGAAGGTCTGAAAAACAAATGAAATTACGAAAAGAAATACCGGTCAAAAATTAATAATATTAGAAGGAGATTATTGTTTACCGACATGGAACTACGAGAAAACAGTTTAAACACCAACTCTAAAATTTGAACAATAAAGATATCCTTTGTTCTCAAAAGTTTCATTAGAAACAAAGAAAAGGGTTCTTTAATGTTACGTAATATATGTCAGCTTATATGCGATGGAATTTTGAAAAATTATCGCACAGAAGAAGAGGAGACGATGCAACAGAAATATAGTTCTACAGAAAGATGCTGAAAATACGATGGCCATAGAGCGTAAGAAACGAATAAGTTTTTAAAGGAAATGGAAACAAAAAAAAAACTTATAGAATAAGAAAGAGACAGTTGAAATTTCTTGAAGCCATGATAATGCAGTTGAGCTTTGGGAAGACATAAGGAAAGGAAGTGGAATAAAGGGATAACAGCATGAAACCGACTTTACAAATGTGTTTAAATGGGTGACAGAACATGAATTAACATGAATAGGAAGAGATAAACATTACTAAGAGCCACAATGAATAGATACTTGTAGGGAGTCTAAATAGTGCCTTCCTGAAGTGACACGTCGCAGAGAATTTGTTTTGAAATGAGATCTTATTTTTATCATTTTCTCTCCACGAATCTGTTTTTTATATGAAAATATTGATTAATAGCAATAATATTCCGATAAAACCAATTACTGCAATAGTAACTTTTATTCAGCGAAGGAAAGAAAGGAAGGAACTGTACTCGGAAGTAAAACATTAACCTAGCCAAATTAATCAAATAGCAAATTTCAAAGAAAACGGAAATAAAGACTAACTAATTTATATCGGAAGATTTTAACTGGGGAATAATACTTACTACACGACCTAATATTCAAATCTGCGCCTTTCTTTTTGGTAGTTATCACCATGCGGGCAAGGTATAAAAAGCCAAGAAAAGCTAGCACGAAAGTCAAATTTTGGTGGTATATCGCATGTCAGAAGTTGAAATCAGGCATGGATGGTCATGTATTGAGGTGAAATCAACTGGGGAATGAAGTTAAGATAATAGAAAACAAAACTTTAGTATACGACAGCTGAAGGATTCGCTGCATGTTGTGACAGTCTTCTCAATCGACCTCATATAGAGATTAATAGCATCTGGGAGACACAGAATAAAAAGGAAAAAAAATGAACACCCAATGATTCCTTACACGTTAGGGTTAAGTCTCCCAAACTAGACTGTCCAAGTGGATAAAGGCGTTGGTTAAAGCATATATGATTTGTGGCAGTCGTAAGTTAAATTACTGAGTCGGATCTTGCAGTAAGGTCATTGATTCTTGCTCAATGAAAGAAACGGGCAAGCAACACAAATGTGCATGAGCTGGAGAGAATTGATACGAGATCTTCCTTAAGCATGCAAAGAGAAATGAGAACTTTCTGCTTCCATGCATTGAATGTTGTTTTCAGTTCAGCATTCTGAAAATGTTAACGAGTACGATAGACAACGAAACTTTGTAAGTATAACAACAAAGATATACTGGTTGGAATAGTAAGGCATATAAGAATGAAAGAAAAAATGGAAGAAAGACGAAAGGAAAGAAAAATATGGAAAGATGAAATGAAACCAAATTTTGAAGAAAGATGAAATGAAAGAAAAAGTGGAAGAAAGATGAGAGGAAAGAAAAATATGGATGAAAGGTGCAAGGAAAGAAAAATATGAAAGAAAGATGAAAGGAAAAAAAATGGCGTAAAGATGTAAAAAAAGAAAAATGGAAGAAAGATGAAAGAAAATAAAAATGTGGAAGAAAGATGGAAAGAAAGAAAAAAATGGAAGAAAGATATAAGGAAAGAAAGAACGAAAGAAAGATGTAAGGAAAGAACGAAAGATGTAAATAAAGAAGGAATGAAAGATGTAAGGAAAGAACGAAAGATGTAAATAAAGAAGGAATGAAAGATGTAAGGAAAGAACGAAAGATGTAAATAAAGAAGGAATGAAAGATGTAAGGAAAGAAAACAGAACGAACCAAACAAAGAAAGAGAACAATACAAGTAAAAAAGAGAAAATGAAAATACAAATGTACAGAAAAAAGAAGGAAAGAAAGAAAAGGAAAATTGAGCAAAATCAAGAGAAAACGTTGAATGCTTTGAAGTAAAATAGAAACTTATTAAGTGACGAAGAAATGAAACAGCTAAAAGAAATTGTCCAGTAAAAGAAGAGAAAAATACTAAGCAAATAAAGAAAGAACGGGAAGGAAATGTGAAAAATAAAATAAATTATGAAGTCTAGTCAGTAAAAGAGAAGCGCATATAAAAAATATAACAAATGACATCAAGAAAGAAAAATCAAGCAGGGAAATGAGAACTGAAAATAAAATAGAAAAAGAAAGAAAAACAAGAAAAAAAAATAGAAACATGAACCCGTTTCAAAATAAAAAAGAAACAATTGGAAATTAAAAAAAAGAATCGCCCTGAATGAAGAATGAACGAAAAAGAATCAACTGAGAAGGAAAGACAAAGTGTGAATGATATTCATGTAAGAAATAAACGAGATTCGAGCAGCAGACTACTCACCATGTCTGCCGTGCAAAATTCTCAATCAATCAAAATCTCGCGAGACCAAACGTGAAGAAACGTTGGCCATAAATCGGTATTTAAAGTTAATGCTCACTTTCCTCGAACCACTCAGCCCTTTCTTCCTTCGCTTTTGCCGCGAATCCTTCTCTGCACTTCGCCTCAGTTTTCCAATCAATCTTCATTCGTTCGCTTATTCCTTATCGGCATTCATTTTCCGCTCGTCCAATTCTCCTCAAAACTTTCCCGGCGTCCAATTCTTTTTAACTGTGCTTTCCAAAGTCCTTTGAGTTAGATTACTTCTCCCTTACTTCGCTCTTCCATCTACTTCAATGGCTGCCTCGATTTCTTCCTGTATTGATTATTCATTAATTTCTCTCTTTTCTCACTTTTCACTACTTTTATGCCATCCTTAATACTTTCTGTAGTTAATTCCTTGAAAATCAGCATTCGAAATCATAGATTTTACTTGAACTCGAACACCAACTTCTGAATTAATGAAAAGTAATAAATACCTCCTCTCTGAGCAAGCGGTACTTTTTTTTCTTTCATGGTAAAGTTTTACACTTTTCCTTCAAGATATTTTTTCGGTTTAGCTTTTTAGAACGAAAAGCCAGAAAGTAAAAAATAAGTGATAAAATACTGTATTAGGTTTTTATTCAAAGGAAACATGATTTGCCTGCTTTGAATACGAAATACCAACTTTTACTCCAGGACGATGGCTAACTGCTGGAAACGATGGAAACACACATTTCATTAATGAATCAAACCAAATAGATAAAACCTAAACTAATAATTATATATCACCATGCACAATAATGCAAAACATTTGAAAGATTGTGTTGAGGTAGTTTTTTTTTCGAGAGAATCAGCAAACAAGTTACTGGCGTTTACATTGAGTTTTAAAAGTAATTAATGGTGTGGGTATTGAAATACAGGTCCCTCAAATTTATTAACCATGCTGACCTCTAAATGTTACTAACAACTAAATTTGGAATATAGACGCCATGGGCAGTAAGCTTTGATTTAACACTATCCAGAATTCTACAGACTGGGTGGAAATGCAAAAGAAAAAAAAAAGCAACGGTAAAGAAACGAAACAAAAGCGAGGAGGTGAATTAAGGAATCACGTCCTCTTAAAACAATGGGCTGAACTCATTGTCTCCTACACTGCCAAGCAAATGTAAGACTTACAAGCCACATTCGCACCATCGTGGACCTTAATTGTGAAGCTGGGTGATCCTCCCCACACCTTTATTAAAGTTGGCGTATAAAAGAAGGTCTACTTTTTGACATGCGAGGACGAAAAAGCCCGTGGGGCAATCTTTTAAACTAGGGTTCTCTTGAAAATTAGCATCAAACATCAATATGTCTGGGCTCAAACGCCAATAGTAAGATATATATATATATATATATATATATATATATTGTTACGAACTTGTAGCATATAGATGAACCACGGGTTCTAAAAAAAAAAGGAAAACGTGGTTTATTTTCTCGGTCTTCACTCAGAAATGGAAGCGACACAAGGGAATCAACGAAGAACAGACGCAAGACGATGGATTTCAAAATTAAACATTTATTTATAAATATATATATAGCGAAACAAAGAAAGAAAAAAAAGAACATTCATTTAACAAAGGGGAGGACATCAGTAAAGGAATAGAAGGCGCGAGCGAATACATACATATATGAAAATAGATCGAGCCAAAAGAACCAACTTATCTTGCAGTCGGGTTCGGAAACGTGAAACATATTCCAGCAAATTTTCTGTTACTGGGTCTTCCCGCAACAAACCTTCCCTCAGTACCTTTAAAGGACCGCGGACTGAATGCCCAAATATTAATTCAAATGGGCTGAACCCCAACGATTCCTGTACGGATTCGCGAGCGGCGAACATTAGGAATGGATACCTTCGTCCCAATCGTGTTGGTGGTCCAGGCAATATGTTCTCATCATGCTCTTCAAGGTGGAGGGAACCTCTCCAAGGCACCTTGGGACTGGGGGGTGATAGGCGCTTGACTTAATGGATTTTATACCCAAACTTCTCGTAACTTGTTGAAACACCCCTGACATGAAGTTGATCCCTGGTCTGACTGTATCACCCTGGGTAAGCCGACCATGGTGAAAAAAGCTAACAAGGGCCTTTACTATTTTCCTGGCGGATAGATTTCTCATGGGTATCGCTTCGGGAAACCTGGTCGAGGCGCACATGATCGTTAGCAGGTATTGGTTCCCTAACTTAGTTTTGGGTAACGGACCAACACAGTCTACGATAATGCGACAAAATGGCTCCCTCGAAGGCAGGAATGGGATGTAGGGGGTGCGATGGGGATTTTCTGGTTCGGCTTCCCTACAACCTGGCAGATGTGGCAAGTCCGGCAATGCTCAGACACGTCCCTTCGGATACCCGGCCAGTAAAAGTATCTGACGATCTTATCGTGCGTCTTGTTAACGCCAAGGTGACCCCAATGGGATCTCATGAGTTGTCCTCATGACCTCCGGTCTGTACCGTTTAGGAGTACTATTTGGTGGACTGTCAACCAGTCTTCTGAGGCGGAGATGTGCGGGGGTCTCCACTTCCTCATTAGTATCTCATTCTTAATAAAATATCCAGTTGGAACTTTCTCCAACTCATCCTCGGGCAATACGTGACGGAAGAGTGGGGTTAGCTCAGAATCACCCCCTGCTCTGTTATAAGTGCTCTCCTCGATAATGGAATGTCCATAGCGGGCTCAACAATACCATCGCTATTTCCAGTTGGGTAACTATCGGGAGGATAATTTAATCCCACATCAGGATTTATAAACGTCTGCGATAGGTCTATCACTTCGTCTTCTGTCCCATCGATTATCTCGTTTATCTTTTCATCGGCCTTCTTTTCTGGCCTGTGCTCTGGTCACTGCACACGAGGGAAATATATCGAGATTCTCTTCCTCGATATCTTCGGTGTCTACCGAAGCAACCGGTTCCGGAACTACTTTAGGGTGGGGTATCACCCACCACCCGCCAATTCGTTTCCTAACAGCATGGATATGCCTTTCATAGGCAAACTAGAACTACTCCGACCTCGACAGGGCCAGAAACTAACCCAGACGTGAGGTGGATTCGATGAAGGGGAACGCTAACAAAGTTGCTGTTAACACCCTGTATGATAACAAATTCGCCAGTGGCCGAATCCGATCCACACGGCACGAAGCTCTCCACAATCAGGGACTGAGGGCCCCAGTGTCCCGCAAGATCTTCACGGATTTCTTCTTTGGGGGTTATCAACGGGGATACAGCACCATTAGACACAAATGGCCTATACTCCTCCCCTCACATCTTCATTCGGTTTCCTATTTAGGGTAACGCTGTCGGAAGAAATTAGCCCTTGGGGTCTCTCTTGACTTAGGGCTCTGGACTCGGCATTCCGCTTCGTCCAACAATTCGACACGAGGTGTCCTACTTTATTGCAGTAGTGGCACATCGGGAGTTTCCTCTCTCCTATTCGTCTGCCGATAAACCGGTGACGGAGAACTAGGATTTTGAGATTTGGTATCTCTCGACTGGGGAGTTGGCCTGAACTAACCGATCGACCAAACTTCGAATTCGGACCAGAACCAGATCCACGTCTTGGGTGTGGACCGCTTCCAAATTCGGATGGGTTGTTATGATTGAACGTACCCCGCTTATGTGTTATCGCGTATTCGTCAGCGAGGGTGGCCATCTCATATAAAGTATCTACCCTTTTTCATCGAGGTAGGTTTTCAAATTATCAGGGACACATTCTTTGAACTCCTCTATCAGTATCATTTGCCTTAGCCTATCGTGATCTGACTCGATGTTTTTCGATAAACTCCATCTATCGAAATAGGTTTCTTTTTTTGTCTAGAGAATTCTACATAAGTCTGTTTGTCTCCCTTTCGGCAGGCTCTAAATTTTTGCCGGTATGCCTCCGGCACAAGCTCATACGACTTTAAAATGGCGGATTTCACAATGCTATATTCAGCGCAATCTGCTACTGAGAGCGCGGCATACGCTTCTTGAGCTTTGCCTTTTAGTGCGGTCTGCAGTAAAATTGGCCACGTTTCTATGGGCCATGCTAGGTTTGAGGCGACCTTTTCGAAATGCTGAAAATATTTGTCGACATCAGCCTCGTTAAACTGGTGGTACGAGTCGGACTTGCTTCGCTAAGTCGAACTCACTACTTCTAGCTTCGTGAGTTCCCGCTTTTTCGTCTAACTCCTGAAATCTAGTTTCTTGCTCGATTCTAGCTTTTGCTATTTCAGCCTTTGCTCTTTCAGCTTCGGTTCTGACCTTAGCCTCGGCCTCAATTTTCACTTTCTCGAACTCGAGTTGTGCCTGCGAAAGTTCCGACGTGTCTAGTGATAATTTACTTAATTCTTCTACGTCGAAAACGTCGTTATCTACCATATGCTCACAGACTATCCTGACTAGCTGAGTTTTTCTCATAGACTTCGTTACCTCTAGTTCTAATTCCTTCCCTATTTCAACTATATCATCCTTCTTAAGCTTACATAATTTTTCCATAGAGGCGATGCGAGAAAACTATCTATAACCGACATCTTGGCCTGTAGTTCGCCGATACACTGAAGTTAAAAGGATTCTTACTGAGTGAAAAAAACAGGAGAAAAGATTCTCGGAACGAGCCCCAAATTTATATAGTTACGAACTTGTAGCATATAGATGAACCACGGGTTCTAAAAAAAGGAAAACGTGGTTTCTTTTCTCGGTCTTCACTCAGAAATGGAAGCGACACAAAGGAATCAACGAAGGACAGACGCAAGACGATGGATTTCAAAATTAAACATTTATTTATAAATATATATATAACGAAACAAAGAAACAAAAAAAAGAACATTCATTTAACAAAGGGGGGGACATCAGTAAAGAATAGAAGGCGCGAGCGAATACATACATATATGAAAATAGATCGAGCCAAAAGAACCAACTTATCTTGCAGTCGGGCTGGTATCTTCACAAAGTTTTGATTCGCCGAAGGAGAGTTCTGATGATAAATCAGTATCTTGGCCGGCCGACAATGTTCCTGGATTCTTCTTCTTTTCGCAAGTGTTCGTGGGTCCCCAGCATTTCATACAGGCATTTTGTTGGGTTGATCAGTCAATAGCAGCCCTTCAATCACTGGTCGATAGACTTCGTGGTCTTCTCATCTCAGTGGGCGGTCTGACGATTTTTGCCCAGCGATGTTCAACTGCCGCTGGTCAGAGGAAACTGAAAAAATCCTTCTTTGGTTTTCGTTGTCCCCACAGACAGTCACGTGGGTTCCCTTCGTCCTTGACCGGGTACGCAGGAGAATAGGGCGCAAATCACGCAGTGTTTGTGTGATGGCCAAAAGTTCAACGCATGCTCCGTACGTCCTGATCACGTGAATCGCAGCATGAGACCCTGATGGTGTCTGAGTTTACTCATGGTCAAACGCGAAATCTTAGAAACCAGGTCATCCTCGCGTCGGGTCACTTCTAAGTTCACGGGCCCTTGGCTGGCGGGGTGGAAGAGAGGATAAGGAGAGAAAGAATTTGTGAAGAGAAGAGGGGGGTATGGCTGATCATAGAATATATTCGCTCGCGAATCGGAAGCATTGGATTAAATTTCTGTTTTTATCTATTTATTTATCTTTCTTTTATATCTAACTAATTTTCTCTTTATTTAAGATTTTACTTTAGCCTAACGCCTATATGGTTAATGAAATCGTTGCTACGTGACAATATATATATATATAGATAGATAGATAGATAGATAGATACGATGAAATTATATAGCGACATATGTTGTGCGTAAAATTTGAGCCTTGCAACATACAAACGCATACACATTCACGTGTATATTCACTCAATACAAGGCCCAAGATCCACTCAAATTAGATACTATATGGTGTAGCCTGTCAAGTAAAGTTAATGGGCTTATGCAGGATATATAACAGTTACCCTTGGTCTTGAAGTGTTCAAAATTGTAGTGACTGGGAAAACATACACAAAGGAAGTTATTTTCATACTATTGGAATACGAAGAGAATGGTTATCATTCACTCATGTGTACGTGGAATGACGGGTCACAGCTTTAAAGGTCGGGAATGGTGAGACTAAGGAATTTAGTTCATCAGAACATATGTCCTGGAAATAGCGATAAAGCATCGAGTGTCTCGCAAAGTCTTATCTGTGAGAAAGGGGTTGTAAGGGGAAATAATTCATCACCCGAAAGCTTTTGAACAAGAGAGGCAAGTAAAGAGTGGACAGCTACATCCCTGAAATAGCAGCAATATTTCATTTTTGGTCTAATCTGGCTCTTGTATAGCAGGGGCATCGGATACTTACTGGGGGGGGTACAATAAACCAACCCTTTTCCCAGCATCTTTAACAACAGATCGGATATATGGGTTCCACTTGAGATCTGGATGTTTCGCTCGGTGGTGGTGGGACGTTATTAGTTTGCTTTTGACTCTATTGAATTTTATAACACAGATCTTTCCCCATTGAACTACCTGAGCTAGGTCAGATTAGAGATGGACGCGTAGGTTCTGGGCTACCAGAATTTAGGAGATGCGTCTCTAAACTATTGTGCCATACGAATAGAGTATCATTAATGATCGGTGTATATTATTAGGGAGATTATTCATATGCAGTATACAGAGTGTAAAAGCGAGGAGAAAACCCTGTGGAATGTCGGCATTGATTTTATTTGCTTCTGACGACGGCTTCACCAACGAACTTCATGGGGGTCTACTTGACTTGATGATTGTGAGAACATTTTCAGAGATTGCATACCAAGAACAGTCCCAGATTTCACACCTTTCCAAAGGCCTTTGATATATCTAGGGCAATGGTCCTCAAGATAGATAGATAGATAGATAGATAGATAGATAGATAGATAGCTGCGAACTGATTGAAAGACGAATTGATTTACCTAAATAGATGAGAAAGGAAACATTCTAAAGTATTTTAATATTTAATATTCAGCAGCTGATAAAACACATATTTCACACGAACATCTTTATCGCAGAAATCTTTTCGCAGATTAATCGCAAATTTGAAACCACAGTAATCAGCTTTCGCTACGTTACATCAACACAATCGATGGAGTGGGTACTGGATATAACAGTGCGATGAACAAGGTTATACGATTGTTCTAAACTAAAAAAAAAAAAAACAGAGAAGTAATCTCAATAAATTTGAATATGTTGATATCCTTAATATTTAGGAATTTTACTCAACATTCTCTGAACATTAAAAAAAAATAGATGTATATCTTCTGTTTCGTTTACCTACATTCCTGTTTCCTTACTCTGAAAGCTTCAAATTTCGTTCTTTTAAAAAAGACTTACTAAAGTTTTACAAATATTTTTTGATCAATTCTTCACCAGCAAGGCTATAACGACACTAAGTCACTAGGGGCTACTGGAAGTGAAAGGGAAAGTAACCAGAGTCCCAATCCTAAACAGGAAACAAGAGATAAACCTCTATTCCTCTTCAAAAGACCGGGGAGGTTGTGAAGACTTGATATTCAATATTTCCAGATTAATACAGCAATAGCATACTTCTTATTAAAACAAAATTATGAAAACTCCATTGTATCAATTTAAATCATAGCTCACCATAAAAAAACAGCATTCAATATTTTTTTTTGTTTTTTTCTTGAATTCAAACATGAGAAAATGGTGCAAATATCTATTCCAACAAGAAGTCCGCAAAATATTTAGAAATCTTTTCTTACTATTCAGGATGGGAAACAATGCTTTGTAATTTAATGTGTCATTTACGAGTTAACTATTTTTCTCAGAAAGTTTTAATTGAGTTTTATTTGTATATCATAAATTTACTTTCATTTCTTTTTCTAATTTTGATTCATTGTGTTTTGTTCTGTTATTTTACTTTTATTCACATGTTCTACATTTCTCAATTCTATTTCTTCTTGTCTTCTTTCAATCATTGGCCTATTCTTTCTTCATTCCATCTCTACTCTCTTCATACATTTTTCTTCATTTCTCTTCTTATTCATTCATCGCTTTTTGTAATCGATCAAACAGCAAGAAATTTTGTTCTCGCCTGATCACCGAAGTTAAGCAACGACGAGCCTGGTCAATATCTAGATGGGTAACTGCTTGGGAATAATAGGTACTGTAAACTTGGATGAACCGGTGATCTTATAGAGGGCAGTCAGAATTAAAAATCGGAGTGCATTCTTCCAATTCTAGTTAGGTTCTTTATATTCACTTACGCGGAAATAGCATTGGGAAAGGCATGAATCCACCTATTCTCTTTCAGCTATTGGTTAAATAGTAGGACTTCTCTCAGTATATTATTATTATCTACAAAATATTTTACAATCCAAAGATGTTTTCAGACATTAAATGTCAAAGTTCGATAAACCGAAAATAAAAAAAAAACAAAAAAACAACCAGTCAATCGAAAACTTGCTGCAATTTTCCTTTCTGAGAGAATTCTACTGATGTATCTGATATTTCTTATTCCAGTGTCTTGAATAAACAGTCATTTTATTTGCCGTTTTTCAAATCTAATTTTGATACTAACTTTATATATTTTCTTTTCTCTTTTTTAGGATATTCGCATTCATAGACACATTGATTCATTGGCAGCGCTATTGATCTAATGACGTCCTCCAGTATTTCGCCGTTCTCGTATGTCTATTTTATAACTTCAGAAATGTACGGGTGGTTTAACGGATAATAACGTCGAAAAAGGAAAACGTTAGTCGACTTCCAGGTTAATTTGTTGCGTTCACTTCTTCCTTATTGCCCCTGGTAATGCATGAATCTAATTTTTCTCCCATTAGCTATGGATTAAATAAAATACTGGACTGGGTTCCGTAGCCGTTAGCGGCAACCGATTTAAGAGAAATAAAATTTTAAATTACAGACTGTGGTGAAGTTGTTTTCTTCAAAAATGAATGGCAATTCTCGAATAATAAATAAAAATTATCTGTGGGGAGTCATGATCTTGTATGTTATGAAGGTTCATGGCATTTAAAAGAGTAAAAGGATATTATAATTTCGTCTAGTCGTACCACTTTTTTTTCCTTCCACCGTGGATCTCATGTGAGACTTTTGTATAATGCCTTTCTAGGTTTTACTCCGCGGTTCTCATAGAATAAATCTGGCATGCGTCCATTCCATCCCTATAAAAGTTTTTCTTTCATTGATGTGTTTATAAACTCTTTAGACTTTAGACTCATAGGGTATGTGTACAGGTCTGGTTAATTCTTTGATCTTTTTGTGCATAACTTCTACAATGTGTTCTGCAGTTATTCGATTTTTGCATATTAATCCATTGGTGATTTGCTTGCTCGCACTTATTTCTAAAGTTCTGCTTAACTTTATATATTCTGTACCATTTCTTAGCGTTATTTGTTGTCTTTCTTTTATTCAGAATGTCATCTGTCATCTGTTTCATTTTTTCTTGTTTTCCTTTCTCGCTCTGACTTTCCTTTTCTGTTGTCACGAGTGATTCCATTAAAGTGTGCTACTTTCAGATACCGAACATTTACAACATTTTATTTTTATTCTTCTTAACTGTGATTTCATATGTCTGTTTGCAAATGGAAGTTTAGTTATTACTTGGATTTCTTTATTTTTATAGTTATTATCCTTTACGTCAATATGGTTATCATTCCTGAAATTGAGGCACTGGTATGTTTTAAAGTGAAAAAATCTTCTCATTGTTATATAGATTATATGGTTTGTAATGTTTCATGCTGGCCCTTACCAAATTCGTAGAATTTCTTCAATTTGTATATTAGCTGTTATTTAGACCATTACCCTGGACCGATTGAAACGTTTTTCGCCGCATTCCTTATATCACATAGACCGTTTAATTTAAGCATTTTGTTTCTTTCTAACATTTGTATTTATGACTCAATGATGATAGTTAATTGTGACATACTCTGATATTTATCAGTTTTTCGTCTGTTGAAAAATGTATCTAATTTTTTTTTCTTTTGTTTTTGTCTTGAGCGTATATACCAGTATGATCGCCATACTGAATGGCTTCCAGTTATAGTAGAACACTGTATGGGAATTTCCAAGACCCAAAAACGTAATTTCTCCTGCCTTTATCTAATATTAATAAGAGTGCACTTTCATTTTTCTCTTCTGTCCTGGGTAAGACGTTAAACTACGTCAAACAGTAAGGCTTCTGAACAGGAGTTTTTGAGGAACGTGTAACCACCCCTTAATTGTTGATGTTCCCAGGTCCACTCTGACTTGAGGTGGTAGCACCTGTTAGGGTACCAGCTATGGGCAAATAGTTAAACCCCCAAACTGGGTCAAAAGTGTAAAAATAGATTTTAATACCAGAAATAATTTGTAAATTTCTTATTAACAGAGATACATTTTTAAAGAAAAAATATTATCAGCAATACATTATTGAAGGAAAAAAATATTACCAGCAAAAAAAAAAAATAAATAAATAAATAACCGATTGTGGTTGATATGCAAAACAAAACAAATAAAAAATCATTTTTTTCTTATACGACTCTACGATCGTCACATTAATTTCCAATTATATTTGCATGTTATTAATATGCGATTTAAATTGATCTTGTTTACAACTTTCTAAATTTCCGTATTGATATAATGTCCTAATATTCCACGTTCCGACTGAGATCTTTGTTTTACATAGTTACTGGATGGCCTTCAAGCGACACTTGTCTCACTTGAGTATCCTAAATACGTAAGGGATCAGGTCTAAATTAGTTGACTCCCTTCACCTCGTTAGCTAATATCTGTGGATTCTGATTTCATTCACTTGCTCAATATGGACATTTCATACTTGTTATTTATTTATTCGATTAAAAATATTTAAGCAATCAACAATTTGAAGACTGGCAGAGGCTAATTCTACTACAAATATCGTAATGTTGTCCAATTTAGTTTTAATGGAATAGTTTTCATCTTATTGCGTAGTTCGCCATAGTAAGATTTGGTCGTCAAAAGCAATACCTACAGCAAAAATAAAACATCAATTTAAAAGCACTCTTCACATTTTTAATAAAAAATAAATAATTAGAATAATGTGTTTGAAACTGCAAAACAAAGGACATACTTTTTTAATTAATTAATCAGAAATTCTATCTTGTATGCATTGAAAGATAGAAATTCATTCGCATGACTTAGATTTTTTTATCTTAAAATCAACATTGTGATATGACGCGCCATTTTCGCTTTTGCTTATGACAAATCAAAAGTGCTTATTTCATGTTTGATGATATATTTTCAAGTTACCAACAATTTGAAGAATGGCCGTTGTTGATTGTAATAGTGTTTTATTACAAAAATTGCATTCGGTACAGTTAATGAAAATTTTTCTATTTTTCTTGAATTTTAATTTTGGCCCTAGAAAAATATATTTACTATAGCCTGCTGAAAAAATCCTCATCCTTACAGAAATTAAAAACTTTCTATATTTACTCCTTGATTTATTCACTTGGTCGCTTTTATTATTCATTTGCTGTTCATTTCCTTTTGTTCTCTTCTTCAATTTCCGTCTTTTTATTAATATCTTGAATTTCTTTTCCTTTTTTTTCATTAAGTTCTTTTATATTCATTTGTTGTCTTTTCTTCTTTTGTCTCTTTTTTATGCCTTTGCATCTACTTTTACTTTTAACTCTTCTTTTACTTTTAAACTCTTTTTTTCTTTCATTTCTGCGGACCTTTCATCTTTCGTCTTTCGTTTCCGTTCTTTCCATTTAGGCGACGATGATGGCGGTAACTCATTGCCACCTAATCTACTTGATTGTAATCACACTGTAGTAAATTCGATTATTAATGTTCTCCTTTTCTTCGTCTACTCCTTGTGTGTTTTCCCTTTAGGAAGAGGGCGTTCATGTCTCTCCACAACTTCTTATCCACTTTTGTTCTAAGAAATATTTCTCCACTTACTATCTCCTATAGTTCCGGCTCTGCCATCAATTTACAATTTCAATAACGTTTATTCCATGTTCCTCTAAGTTATCTTTCGCCATTATGTATCCTAGAATTTTCAACAAACCTTTTCTGATTCTAAATACAAGTTTTCTCTTTGTTTTCATTTGTCCTTAAAACATCCAATTTGTTCACATCTTCTGTTTATGATAATTATATTATCAACATCGTTATGTAGAACCACGTGTATATGTTGCCTCGAGTTACTTTTCATCCGTGAGTCAATTCCCCATTATTCAGTCATATAGGAGGATTAATATTACATAGATTTTGAGCACTTTTATCTTTGTTTACAACAATTTTTTCTGTTTCTTGTTACTTTGTCTATCATTTTAAAGCATCTTTCGCTTATTCAAATATTATCTTTTGATCCTCACTACAGATTTAATAAATTTGCTATTGTGATAGGAATAAAATAAGCAAATCGACGTTAATAAATATCCCTCCTTTCCATTTTCTTTTTTTCATTTCATCTATCTTTTTTACTTATCTTTTTTGCGTCTTAATTTTTTTTAACTACATTATTTCCTCTTTAACTCCTCGTCATTGTTAACGCAGATTTCCTTCAATTTTCTTTAATGTTATCTTTTCGATTGCTTTCGTTTGTTTTTTTAAGTTTCAATCCCTATTTTTTTTTCTTCATTCCTTTTTTTTATTTTCATTCATCTTTCTTTTGTCTGATCCTCAATTGATCAGGAAAGTGCTTATCAACACATTACTTTTTCTCTTTTTTTTTTTTTTTAGGTTTCTTCTCCTTTACTGCTCTGGTGCATCTTCACTATCCAAGCGTCTTACTCGACTGAATTTGCACTTTATGTGCTTCTTTCTACTAGAGAGCTATCAAAGCAAAATCCATCACTCCTCACCCATCCGTTATCGCGTTTATCGATTTCTTTCAATTCTCATCAATATTTCTCTTCGTGATCCTTTGAGCTCTTTCATCGATTTGTGTCTAGGCGTATAAATGGCTGCGGCTTCAAATATCACATTCCGTAGCCTTTCTTTGAACAGCCTCTCAAAAAAACACAAAAGGGTTTGAGATTTTTTATCATTTTGTTTAAATATTATGCCTTTTTTCCTCTGTGATACTTTTAAGTTTTGGAAATTTAAACCTGAATGTAATTTCATCAACCAACGATGAAACAAAACTTGAGGATTTAGTTTGAATTGCGAGCAATCATAGTGAATCATTTAGATCGCTCATTAAAATATATAGCTATTCTAATTGAATATTTGTATGACATAGTCCTTGGAAACTATCTAGCTATTTCTAAGACATACTTTCGAGAATGTACTAAGCTATGTTTAATACAGAGCACATAGAAAGTATCTAGCTATTTCTAAGACATAGTTCGTGAAAAGATTCTAGCTATTTGTAAGACATAGTTCTCTGGAAGGTATCTAGCTATTTCTAATACATAGATCCTGGAATGTTTCTATCTATTTCTAAGACATAGTTCCTGGAAATCATCTCCTTATTTCTAAAACATAACCTATGGAATGTATCTAAATATATCTAAGACATAATCCCTGAAAAGTATTTCCCTATTTCTAGAACAAGTTTCTTGAAAGTATCTCGTTATTTCTAAGACAAGTTCCTGGAAAATATCTCGCTATTTATAATACATATTTCTCTGGAAAATATCGATCTATTTCTAATATATGGTTCCTGGAAAATATCTAACTATTACTAAGATATAGTTTCTGGAAATTATCTATCTCTTTCTACGATAAACTGAAATTGTGATTTTCTCTCTTTCTAAATCCTTGGCGATCCTATATACTGTTTCACCATCTAAAGAACTTTCTTGTGTTGATTTCGCCTCCTAAATATGGGAAGGATTTCACGTACCTGTTGCCCACAGAAATCCAAAGCAATGACGCACAGTATTCGGCCTAGATATTAGTGTGCCCCATTTGAATATAGGTAGGTTTGGGTTGGGATATAAATTGTGTTTTTAACACAGTTTGTTAGACGAAACTATTATGCTGACGACGATAAAAGGTTTATGATTTTTTTTTTTAACTTCCTGGAAAAAAGCTATAATCTGCAAACAAAAAGTGTAAAATTATTTTCGTAATTAAAGAGAGCATTCCTCTAGATTGAAATAAAATGCCAATAATCTAATCCCTGGAGGCATACTCTAACATCAGAGAAAAATAAATTGCAAATTAAACAGTGGCCATTACCCATCGTTGCATTGTTCCATTTTAACATGAAAAGCATTCGATAAGTCATCATTTAATTTAACAGAACCTTGCATATTTTCAAGGAAAGATATTATGAAATTGACCATCTTATCGGGAATCAGAGTTGTCTTCCTCACTGAGAAGGAAGCATCCCAATTAACGGACACAAACGTTTTAGTTAAGTCAGCAACAGCCATAAAATATATTAGCATTTTTCTCCTGTACTGCAACCTGTCGCAAGCAGTATATCATGTATGTGGTTTCTCTTCCAGTCCTAAAACCACAAAGGGATTAAGGATAAACATTATCTACAAGGTGAGTCATTATTCTGTGGCAAATAACTCGAGCAAGTATCTTGCCCACTCCCCACAGAGAGTAATGATATACCTCGATAACTGTCACACTTCGCTTAGATGAGTAATGGAGGCGTCTTTAAATTCATGAGTAACCTGGCTATGCTTCCACACCATAAAATACGAATGCAAGCGCTTACGCACGAGTAACACATCTCTATACTTGTCCACTTCGGCTGGTATTGCCAGGCGATTTCCTTGATACCATTTGCTTTATAGTTGTATTGACTTCCGTATATGTCGGATCAAAATGTATTTCCGGTCATGAATTAATGACATTTTGATCGACATTAGATGAAGAACTTAAAATAGTTTCAAAGTGATCTTCCAAGCGATTAAGAATATAATCTTTATCATTTAGTAAAGTAGATCCGCTCAATGCTAATATTGGTGAGGATTCGCGTAACTAGAGGCTATAAACATGATTTATACCTTCCTATACAGCTTTTGTATCCTTTCTATCACCAGCAACTTAAAGCTGAGATGCTTTTGATGACCTATATTCTTTGATTTCTCTTAAGTTTGTTTACAACCCAAATATGAATTCTATTTCGTTTTATCACTCATGGACTGTATTGTCTAAATCAAAATAATCTCGATGCTTACTCAAAAGATCAACAATTGAAATAGAATATGTTGCTTTCTTGAGATTTTTCCCACCATTTAATATTCTCTAAAATTTCATAAACACAAGCTGTATATCGAGTAGTCATCACCTGAAAGGCCATTTGTGCACAATACCGACTAAATTCTTCCAGTAGTATGCTGTATTTGCCATTTATATTAACCAATCATCAACAGACTTTTAGTAAAAAGCTTTTTAATAAAGATCGGAATGAGTAATTTATTTACGATTCGTACCTAAACAAACACAGATATCGAAAAATTTAATAACTGCGGAAAAATATAGCAGAAGGAAAAAATATATAAATCAGGATTTAAGTCCTCGAACAAGACCAGGATGCTAAAACGATCGGTTACGATGACTACAATCGACGGCTTCCGAACAATTCCATTTGCTCAATATCACTCAAAAGGCTGGAGTCAAATCACGGTATAGTTTTCAGATACTTTCCAGATCTATAGTTTCCAGATACTTACCTCCTCAGGTCGATATAATCAAGACTTACGTAAATAAATATATTCATACATGTTTCTATACAGACACATATTCTTGTTCTATATGCCGTGTCCCTTCAAAATATGAATGATTGTGACTATCCATAATTCCCTGTCTTTTGTAGTGCTTAGTGAGTTGTGTCGTTTTGTTACCACTCCAATTTCCTGTTCTGTCAACTTGTTAAAGATGCTATTCTCTATATTCCTCTATTTCTTTTACCTTCATTATCTCATTATTCTCCAAATATGCTTTTCTCATTATATACTTTAGAAATTTCAACTGTCACATGATGATGATGATGATGATGATGATGATGATGATGATGATGGCATCATGTGCAGCAGCCTAGGTCCCACTGGCAAACAATAAAACATAGTTTGGAAATTTTTTTGTTCACGTTGCACGCTAGTCTTACAGCAATTAATGTCTTCTTTGCAAAAACCATTGAATCATTCCATTAGAAATTGTAATTCTCAAACAACTTACACACCATAAAATCAATCACCCACCTTCTATTGCTATCGGTTCAACAAAATTGAACTTTGTTATGGATTTTATGTGCCTGGGATGATTAATATCCGATTCGCCAAGCTAGAACAAGACGAAAAGTAAATCTTTCTTTCGCAGACTTGACTTTAATATCTGGATTAATAACACTAAACTAAATGTCTACAAAGTCATTGTGCACCACATTTTCTTTTCTGGTGCCGAATCTTAAGTCATTTACCCACATTTTACCTCTTTTAAAAGCTTCCACCATGTTTGCTCCTGTTCTCAATTTGCACTGGAGAGTGACCGTGACTCTCCATAATTCTCTTCTATTTCCTATTCTGTCAAATTCTTAGAGATGTCATTTGCTGCTTTCCTCTATTTATTTTAACTTTTATTATCTCTTGTTAGTGTCAGATTCTTTGAAAACCCTTTTCTCATTATATATTCTAGAAATTTCAACTGTCACTTTCTGATTCTAAATAAAAGGGAGCTTCTTGTTTCCATTTATCTTAAAACATTCTTGTTTCTCACATGTTCAGACTATGTACTTTTTAGCATCCATTTTGTAAAAAACAGATTTCTCGTGCCTAAGATTGTCCAATACTCACTACCATATAAGAGGACCAATATTAAATAAGTTTAGCACTCATTGCTTTTTTCTAATGAAACTTTCTTTTACTTAGCTTTTGAAGACATCTTTTACTATTCGGATGTGCCTTCGGATTTCGGTGTCACAGTTTCTTCTGTCTTTTAAAACAATTCCTTGATATTTAATCTGTCGCATTTACTTGATTTTGGTGATTAAAATTCGTAGTTTGCGTCTTGGGCTGTTCTTGCGGACAGCCATATATTCAGTCTTCTCATATTCGATAATTAATCCTTTCTTCTAACAGTTCTCAACCACAACAAGTCATTTCAAAAATCATTGTGACGTTTGGTAATTATTTCAAAATTGTGAAGTGTTTCCAGCCGAGAACTTTTCAGCATAATCTCAGACATATCGGTGGAATTAAGGAGTGAGTCTGTCCGAGAACCTTTCAACACCACCTCGGGTGGAAAGAACTCAAAAATTCTTGGTGCAACGCCCAAGAAATACGAGTTCGCTATCGCCGACCTTGGAACGTTTCAGTATAGATTTACACGTGCAATAACTCTAGAAGTAGATGCCATCTCACGCAACTGTTTTTATTAAGAAAAATGGAAAAAATGAAAATTAGTATGCTGATTTTCTAAGCGTAACTTAGATGTGGCACAAGACTGAAACTACGCGGCATCGAATGAAGATCGAACTCACGACTCAATCGAAATTGTTCTAGCCAAACAAGGTTAGTAACCATTATACCACGCTACGGTCTCCGATGCAAATTATTATGTATCACATTTTTAAAACCTTTCTATGTTCATCCGATACCTGACACTTCGATGTTTGTGTCAGACTAAGATAATTAGTAAATAAATTTGGATCTTTAAAAACGATTGAGTTAATGAAAAAGGAAACTTTAAAATAAAAAAAAAATAAAACTGCTAGTATAATGAACATAAATGTATTTATTCTTAGATAAGAGACACCAACATATTTCCTTATGCTAATGTTCGGTGTGCCTCGTGGTTGAGATAGAGTATAATTCTTTCTTCACTTCAAATGGACTACATTTAGTACATACAGACACCCCCCACACACAGAGGAACAGTTTCAGAACTTTACAGCGCCGCCTACATGGAAAGGTTTAATCATTTCTTCTAACATTTCCTGTCCTGTCCACTTGTTAGACATGTTATTCTAGCGCATTTACTTGTTTCCATTTACCTCAAATCTTTCTTTTAGGTCATCCCATAAGTTATGTCCGAATTTTGAATAAAGAAAACAAGTGACCAAATGTTACATTTAATTACAGATTCAATCAACAATGTATTTTCCCTGATTATCTATGACTTCATTCCATCTATTAAAAAGCTTACTAATTCCATTACTGTAAAATTCTTTTGGCTTTGATTCGAAGAACTCACAAATGTCAGTTTTAACCTCTTCCTGTGTTACAAAAGCTGTTTCTTCCAAATTATTCTGTAAGCTATGAACCAAATGGTAGTCTGAAGGAGCAAGATCCGGAGAATAAGGTGGATGAGGAATTTTCTCCCAACCAAGTTCTTCGATCTTTTGCGCTGTGTGCGGTCGCGAATTGTCCTGATGAAAAATCACCTCTTTTCGATTCACTAGAGCAGGTCTTTTTTTCATCAAAGCTTGGCTCAAACGCTCTAATTGCTGACATTATATTTCAGCATTAATGGTGGTAAGAATTCAAAGTGGATTATTCCTTGGCGATCCCACCAGATTGAAAGAAGAACGTTTTGCTCATGAAGTTCCCTTCTCGGCTGTGGCTGGGGTCCTTCCCCTTTATCAAGCCACTGTCTACGACGCTTAACATTTCGATAAAAGATCCATTTTTCGTCGCCAGTCAAAAAAGGTGAAACAAGTTGGCGAGAATGGAGAGAAGAGCAGATGTCAACTTGGGATTTGAGGTTGTTTTCAGACAATTCATGAGGCACCCATTTTCCAAGTTTGGGAAATTTTCTAAGTTGTTAAAGATGACGATGAACAGTTGTATAGTTTGAACTGAGAACCACTACCAATTCCTCAACTGATAAAGCAGGATTTTCTTCAAGGGCTGCTTCAAGAATCTTTTCATCAAACTCAACTGGACGTCCGGTTCGATCTTCATCTTCAAGGTGAAATCTCCACCTCTGAATTTTTGCAAACCATCTTCTGTAAGTTCTTTCATTCACACATTCTTCCATAAATGAGTGAATGTTTCTAGCCGCTTCGGCTGCTGAGATTCCTTTCTTGAACTCATAAAGCATTATGTGCCTCAAATGATTCTTGCGTACTTCCATGTTAGTAGGGTTTTAATCAAACAAAATTTAATTTTATTGCTCTCTGAAATAAAATTTGATCAGTTTAAATGCATCTAAACATAAAAATAATTTTCAGCTACATTAGACATTATAAAATACTTTTAAATTTCGTTCATTTTAACAAAAAATTAAAATTCGGACAGAACTTATGGGATGACCTGATAGTTTCTCACATGTTCAGACTATGTAATTTTTAGCATCCTTCTGTAGAAACACATTTCTGGGCTTAATATCTCACGATAAAAGTATCTCCATTTTGGGTTTTCTCCCATATATGGCATTATTATTATCTTAATATGTTTTTTGTGAAATAAAACAAAAGTAACACAAGTAAGATATAACATAAATTTATTACTTCAAACGTTATTATGGTGGATACTCGTATTTGAAAAAGGTGTGCTATTTATATCCAAAATAATAATATTTGAAATAATAAATATGTTAGATAAAATATAAATCTATTAATTCTTTTATAAATTCTTTTTTTTTATATATATATATATATATATATATATATATATATATATATATATATATATATGCGAGGGTGCATTAGCATGAATGTATATCAAAACATACCGAAATATGTGCATATGTATTTATATACATATATAGGTTTTTGCTGTAAAATACTCCTAACGTTGTAATATTTCGCCAGATTTAGGTTGGTGGGTCGAGACATTAATTTTTCACCGCTTTCTCGTATGTAAATATGTGTACATACATATGCTATATCCATATGTGTGTGTGTGTGTGTGTGAGAGAGAGAGAGAGAGAGAGAGAGAGCTAACTTGTGCGTGTATTTTGTTCTTGATGCTTTTTCATTATTTATTACAACTGTTCTTATCTTTTGAGGACGATAAACACGGTCGGCTGCATATAACGATTTGGCCTTGATAGTCCATTACACTATAATTTGTCTAGACAGTTCAAAATGTCGTCATCGGTCGATCTTTTGATGATGTCGATGCGCAGACACAAACTAAATTAGGAAATATCACCCGTTTGAAATAATTGGATTGCTAAAATATCAATAAATCAAAGACAGGAAAACATGATCCAATGCCGACATTACAGTACGAATAAGCCACAAATTCAGTAAAATGACTGACGCTTTGAAGGTTCCGGTCACGCATGCGCAGAGTACAGTGCGTCTTTTGAAAATTCCTCTTTTATTGCTTTTTCGGGTGAGAAAGGATAACCTTAGAAAGATACATGTTATCAGTTTAAAAGTTAACTCAGACTTTCCTCTGTCACTGTGGGCACATGACATGAAAGAATCATCTAATTGTCTATGAACGCTGAGTAGATCTCTGATGAGTCTCGTTTTCATAATTTTTAAAAATTGCTTTAAAATGCATCTACTAGAATTTAGCTTAGTTTGTGATGTTGTTTACTCATTCTGAATTTTATTGATATTGATTTTTAATAATCTATAATTTCATCGATTTTCCTCAAAAGGTTTAGAATCACAGATTGATAGCAATGACTGTAATTGATGCCGGAATAACTACATTTCGACACGCGCATATACCCATATGGATATTTGTTATATCTTGTTTTACTTTTGTTTTATTTCACAAAAACATATTAAAATAATAATATTGCCTTATACGGGAGAATACCCAGAATGAAAGTACTTTTATCGTAAGATATTAAACCCATTGGTACACAAAATAGACACACATATTTCAACCAAGTATGTTGCAGCTCAAACGAATCAGAATCGGCAGTGAGCTCCTAACCATTCCACCATCGCAAACGGGGGTGAAACGATAGCGTTCTGGCCTCAACACTGTTCTTGTTAATCTTCAGAACGTTAGTAAAACAATGGAAATTGATGATGATGGCCGGGATGATGATGATGATGATGATGATGATGATGATGATGGCGGTGGTGGTGGTGGCATCATGTACATCGGCACAGGTCATACTGGCAAACAATAAAACATAGTTTGAGAATTTTTGGTCCACGTTTCACGCTAGTCTTACAGCAATTAATGTCCTCTTTGCAAAAACCATTGAATCATTCCATTAGAAATTGTAATTCTCAAACCACTTACACACCATAAAATCAATCACCCATCTTCTATTTCAATTGGTTCAACAAAATTGAACTTTGTTATGGATTTTATGTGCCTGGGATGATTAATATCCGATGCGCCAAGCTAGAACAACACGAAAAGAAAATCTCTCATTCGTAGACTTGACTTTAATATCTGGATTGATATCACTAAGTTAAAGGTCTACAAAGTCATTGTGCTACACATTTTCTTTTCTGGTGCCGAATCTTAAGTCATCTTCCCACGTTTTCTCTAATTTGAATGCTTCCACCATTTTTTCTCCAGTATCGTTCACAATGTGCACTGGAGAGGTAACATTACAAACTCGGAACTCCTTAAGAGCATTAAAGCTTTGCTGCTAACATACAGCAACGCAAAACATGTATCGAATAAAGAAATCCATCGACTTTCAAAAACTTTAATGCACATAGAACTGAACATTGATCTACACAACAAAGATATACCACAAATGGTGAATCAAACATAAAATGTCTACCTCTTACTATTAGAAGAATTATCTCTCAAATATTTATTTTTAGTAACAAAAAATACTTTCATATATTTCGCAATAATTTTATACTTTTATTCTTGTCTTATGTCTTGATTCGTTTATATTATTGTCATTAAAATAATAAATCAATATGGTTCATTTGATAACGAAGTCTTCATTCCCACATCTAATGCAAAATATATATGGTCGTTCCTTGTCATGGTAGAGAACTCGCGTGTCCTAGTGATCCCAAGAGCAAAGCAGTCTGAAGTTCTAACACCTGTAGGGACACTCATGGCGGCAGGTTCAAGGAGGATAGGGTAGAGCAGCACCAATCGAACTGGCGTAACCAAGGCGCACCTTGACAGACCAAGCATCCAAGAAAGTGCTGTATCCATATAATCTCTGTGTATATCAATACATGGAACATTAAAGGTATGCTAAACTATACGTTGAATGGTTAGGTAGTGTAACGGATATCAATGTGCGAACTGGAATCACTGACTGTGTTTGCTGCATTGACTTCCGCAATAATATTCTTGGGAAAGATACGAATCCATCTATCAGCTCTTCATATGTAGGTTAAACAGCATTTTAGTCTTGGATGGTAGTGAGAATAATGCAGAATATAACTGGAAAAAACATTCCACTACCATTCCCAAGACTTGCTTAGGTCAGGAACTATTACTGCTTCCTGTTTGTACCATGTAACCTAATCCATTCTATTACATGCTGCTTAGAGAGTTCTATGAATGACAATTCATTCATCAGCATAGTAAGCCAACGACCTTATAGGTCATGGGTTGAACTAGAAGTGCAAGTGATATATCTATATATTGTATAAGTTACATAATGGCACGTGGCCAAAGACCTGGGAGTGCGGCTGAATGGTTAGTGCGTCAGCGTTCTGTTCATGAGGCTTATGAGTAGACGAAACTGTTTGGAAAAAGTTAATATGTAGTCACACAGAAAGTTAATGGGCTTATAAAAGAGAAGTCGTGTTGTTTGAAATTCTATTTGCAGAGTATTAAGAAACAATTTCTTTTCATTTGAAACAAAGCAAACAGTACTGAACTGTTATGTAATATTTTTCTTCCTATATAACAGGGAATGCTAGACTTTCTCCGCACAGATGAAGCAGAGACTTGCAGCAACAGAAATGTAGTTCTACAGAATAATGCCGAAGATACCATGTACCAAGGACGAAGTTTTATAGAAAATGAAATATAAACTTATACAGGTTGCCCAGTAAAAACGCGGCAATTAATTCTTGGAGAAAATACACGAACACTATTTGGTCCATCTCAGGGGCCATCGAAAAGTCCAGACCTGAATGTTATGGGTTACCGTATTTGGAATATACTCCTCACTGACTTGGGACATCGTCGATATTGATTCAGTTATGTGGAACTTAACTGAGCTTGGAATGAAATTCCTCTTGACACTATCTGCAAAGCTACTGCCTCCTGGTTATCACGCTTACAACTTAGTGCTTAAAATTCGAACATCTACAATGATTGTTCAGTTTATGCATGGATTATGGTAGCTAAGTAAATTTCTGAATTTAACGCTTTTTTATCGGCGAACCTGTACTTAACATCAGGAAGAGCCATCATTGCCTACGTCCTGAAGTGACACGACACATAGAAGAAGAAGACTCGATAAAAAAAAAAAAAAAAAATCTCTCATTTCGAAGTAGCCTTGGCTATTCGCGAGGATGTAGTGTCCTGAAAAACGCAAAAACTAATATTAATAAAAAGCAAAAATGTGAGTTTGCAATCTGTTGCTGGCAGAAATAGCGTAACTTTTTATAGGTTACATATCTATCGGGAATGTATCTATTAACGCTTAAATCATGAAAGTTAAACTCGATGATTTCTAAGGAAACGGAAAATTATGCAAATCTTTAGCAGAATTTGAAAACCAATATATTTTCAATGAATTCATATCTTTCTCTGTTAATTTATTCGTTTCCTGCCATTTCTTGATTAATTCTCTAACTGCAATATATATATTTCTTGATAGTCGAGGTTGACTAGTAATGAAATAATTAGCCTAAGTAATGGAAGTAATCGTGCAAAACATTACTAGTCTCTTGAGTTCGATCCTTATTTATTGTGTTAGCCTATTGAATTTATGTTAGCTAACGAACGCATCACGTTGAAACACCGTACGATCACCTAAATTAACCAACATCGATCCTAGTCAGTGCCGAGATGGGTGACCACTTGGGAATACCAGGTGCTGTAAGCTTGGATGTGCGGGTGGTGTAATGGACAGTGGCTCGGAATTATTAATCAGAGAGCCGAGTTCCAATTCTCCTTCGGTTCGTTATATTCATTTAGGCGCAAATGGATGAATTAGTAAAAATTGTATAATTTAACTATTATTATCGAAAATAAATTAGAAACCCAAATATTTTTATCTCCTTAAATAAAACAAGAAAGGGTAAATAAGCCGTAGAAAACGAATCAATCATCATAAACTTCTGTTCTTTTTAATCATTTTATCCCAAGCAAGCCACGAAGATTCAGCTGGATTAACAGGTGTAAGAGATTATGAAAAAAGGAAAACGAATATTAAGGTGAGAGAACAATAAAAAAACAGAAATTAAAAAAATACAGAAGATAGCGATTGACATTGCATTTACATTTTTGATGGTCAATGTTGAGTAGAAAGTAAGAGGCAGGATGGAGTTCCACAAAAGAGAATCGTGACGGAAGAAACTGTTATCATAGAACCATTTCAACTGTAAGATGAGTAGACATTGCCGCTAATCTCTTACTGAGCCTAAATATATAAAATGCAGGTAGTATAGAAAAAAAAAATTCATCAGAAGAATTTACGATGAAAATATTTCTTAGAAAATGCCAGAGAATCTTCGTTACGGCAAAGGGAAAGTGATTGAAACCTAGATACCAGATGAGGACCAATGATATTGCAGATTCTATTTTGTGTTTTATCAAAAATGTCTAAATGCATAGCAGAAACATGAAACTAGATATTATAGCAATATCCAATGCATGGACGAATGGTAGATTTATAAATGTATTAGATGGATAATCTCGCTAAAAAACTGTCAGTGTTCATAGGAGCAACCTAGCAATTGATTTAATATAATCTTTCTATTTGATGTAAGCGGAAAACATAATCTCGAGAAGTCGGAAGCAGACACTTTCATGGAGGTTAGCATCAGCCATGCTGACGGAAGTTAACTTTAAAAGACCACCTTGTGTTACGCGATGCTTAACGAAGTTATTTTGTCCACCATTTTCTACATGTCTATTGCCTTTAACAGAGTAAGTTGGCCTTGGTAGATAAATATTAGTTTCATTCCGTGTAAAAAAGAAGCAAAATCACGTTAATCACTTGTGTTCTAATACCATTTGTAGGTGTGAATTTAATTACGTTTTCTGTATACATTAAATATACAGGGTATAACACTTATTAAAGTCCCGCAGTAATCACATAATGTCGCTGGACCAATTAGCTATGCAAACATTTGTACCCGATCACGTCTGGACATGATCCAACGCAGACCACATAAGTCATCCGTTGCCTAGGAAGTAGTAAATGTTCATGTTATTCTGTTGCCGCAAAATCAATGAAAGGAAGTAGCAGATAAGATCAGCTTTTGTTTGAAGACTAGAAAACTTGGAGAAGAAGCCCTTCCCCTATACAAATGTCTTAGGAATATGCTATGAAGCTTCTAATGTTTTTTGGTGTACACCGACGGTTACAGAAACAGGTAGATTATGTACACAAGGAAGCAAGACATGGCATGTCATTTTAACAGATATTTTACGAAATTACACAAACATGTCTTAAAATACTAAAGAGTAAAGTTATTCAATAAAATCGCCATTGCCTTCAATCTCGGCCACTCGACGATTTCAGAATCTCCTACAACTCTTCTGCACGGTCGTTTTTTGTAAGTTGGTGAATTCTGCCATAATCCTTGACTTCTGTTCATCTTTTCATCTAAAAGAGTTTATTGGTCTCTCGCTCAATTGCGCCCCACACATAATAATCAAGAGGGTTGACATCTGGGGAGTTAGTTTGCCAGATGTAAGGGGTAATGTGGTCGCATAAATTGTCTGACAGCCATAACTGGTTTCTCCTGCTTGTGTGGCATGGTGAAGAGTACTGTTGCCATACATAGAGTCTTTCAGCAGTCACCCCCTTGACCCAGCATTGTCGTCTCAAGGCACTTGATGTAGGCCTCCGTGTTTAGTCTGAGGCCCACACCAACACATTCGGGAGTTCCTTTCTTATCAGAACGATCAGAGGGAGTTTTCCTAGCTGTCGTAGCTTCGTAATCATCATTAGTGTTGTGGATTCCGGTATGAAATCCAGTCTCAAATGAATGACAAACGCAGGAATGAAATATAGCA